AGCCCTCTGGCAGTGGGGGGTTTATTTTCCTTATCTGTTGATCTGCTGCATTTGTTACGTCTGTACTTTTTTCATACTGTTGTCTTCTCCACTCACATAGAACAATTTGTCTCTGGCAGATAGGTCTTTCCTTTTCTGTGTGGTCTTTAGCTTTTTTTTTTTTTCAATCAGCTCTGAAGTGTAAGACAGAATAAATTTAGCAACATGTTTCCAAGCAGAAGTGCTCTCTTAGCTGGCTCTGCCTGCAGTCTCGAAGAACATGGAAGAGACGTTCTTGTTTAGAAATGAACAGGCTGACGTTTACTAACTTTTGTAATGCATGGAACTTCAGCTGTTGAAGAAGAAGTAATCTATTAAAAAAAAAAAAAGTCCTGAAATTGTAGGCCATCTGTTGGTTATTTCTTAATTTATTTGTCAGTTTGTTTTTTGTAATGTCAAAATCTTTAACCTTGACAGTACCAATCAGACCCAGAGCCTTTCTTACCGCTTGACTGGAGATAGATTGTTTTATATACGGATTTTGTTATGATCTGTTTTTACTGTGTTTAACACATGGAAAAAAAACTGTCTTTAGAGAGCAATAGCTGTACTTAGTGGTGTCTTTGGCCATAAAATACTGTCTTTAGAGGAAAAGACGGTTAACCTTCTTGTGGTATTTTTTTTCTTTATGCTTTCTCCAGTAAATGACATGAAATACTTGCGAATCCAGTTTTAAATTCCTTTTTTGCATCTATCTTTTTCCCTTTTCACTCCCTCCTTGTGCTCTATGCTAAAATATTTTCTGTGATAATGAAACTGGGACGCAGACCATGGCTGTCTTACTGTCTCTGTATCTTCAAGAAAAAATGCGAAAGAGTTTTGCCTCGTAGGGGGTGTCAAGAATGTGACATTTGTACCAAGACGTCAATTTTTGCATCTGCGTATAGGCATTGAAAATATTCCGGCACAGTTGTTTTAGATGTGGTTAAATATTTTATAAACATTTGCTTGCCAACTTCAAGTTCACTTTTATATGTTTAGATAGAGTGTATTTTCTGCGTGAGTGCATTTTTTTTCCTTAACTCCTATAGAGTAATAAGGGCATAGGGAGAAAGAGCAAGTTATTATGTGTAGTAGGAGCAAAAATAAGAAAACAGATTCCTTAAATAAATTTACTGTGTATTTTAGACTAGATTTGGGAAGATGCCAGAGTACTTTCAACTCTTATTGTCTGCAGTGGGAGCTGAGTACTCTGCATCAAAAAGGAATTATTGTGTTTATTTCCTTGGAAACAACACAGATTCATCCGGTAGAAGATTCTTGCAAATAAAGCGTTGTTAACGTTTTGTGATCGATGTGTAGAGATTTAATATTGTGGCTTAAAAGCTAATGCACAGGTTTTTTATTGTAACGGTATTGTCCTTATGAGTCCTCATGAATGCTTCAGTATTCTTTTTTCTTCGTATTGGAGAGACCATTCTCCTGAGCGTTTCAGCTTACAGCCTTAATTTAGCTTTAGAGTTCAAAATTTTAAAAGAAAAAAAATTCCTTCCATTTACTTTATATAAGTGAGTTTTGACATCCTTTTGGGATAAGTTTGGAAAGTATGGTTAAATATAGGCGCTTAATGCTTTTTGTGAGTAAGACAAAAGCCTGGGACTTTGGAACGGTATATCAACATGCTACGACTCGCCTTATGCACTGTGGCTAGTGACTCGATCCAGGCAAGGAAGATGCTCAGTAAACATTTGGAAGTACATGGTAGGACTGAGGACTTTAGTATATGTCAGCTCCCTCATTTGTTAATTGGGTCATGTTTGCCTAGGTTATTGGGATGCTGAAAACAAACTTGGACAGGGTTTTTGTACAGTTTGCTCTTGTGTGGTTGTCCCTTTTCTTTTTCCATAGCCTGCCCCCATCACTATGCATTTGAGTGTGCTGTGGTACATATCACAGGTATTTGTTAGCGCACAAAATGATTAACAGTTATTTTTCTTGAGCGTGGTATGTCTTACCTATTATGAACAACTCCAAAAGATAAATCTGTATTAAATATCAGCAATACTTCTGAATCATGAGTTTGAATGGAAATGTTACGGCATCTCTCTTTGTACCTTACAGGAAGAAAAGGCTTCTCTCCTGCATCGTACTCAGGAAGAAAGGAGAAAACGGGAGGTAAAGTAGAAGTAGGGGCTTGGAATGCAAGCGTTTGCACGCATACGGCATTTTTCTTTGCTGCAGTTAACATTTACAGTCCAACGTTCTTTATTCTGTTGCAGTTGTATTTACTTCAGGAATGCTTTGTTTCACTTTGCTTGTTTCATATGTTCTTCCAGCCGACTGGAATTGACAAAACTGCTTGACTGCTTTTAAGATGGTTCTCAGGGGTGATTTTCTTCTCAAAAGCAGATAATTACCATGCACTGGGTGCGAAGGGAATTTTCGTTTTTATTTTGGTGCTCATTGGATCTAGGCTTTCTTGCAAAAAGATAGCTGTTTGCCCAGTAACTTTAGTTTTTTGCCATGTCCATAATATGTTGCTGTGGTCTTGGCAAACTGCCTGCCTCTGGTTCTGTTATGGTTTCCAGGATGACCTTCAGCAAGTCACTTTCCCAGTTTGTACTTTAGTTCTGCAAAAGTAAAATCAAGACTGATACTTCAGTGCAGTGTAAAGTGCTTTGAAATCCACTGATGGTTGAGAAAAAATGAGAAGCAATTGTGAGACTGCTGTGTGAGCCTGAGGCTTTAGGATATCTTATGTGGGCTTGTAATGTAAAGCTTACTGCTATAGAAAATTCAGTTTGGAATAAAGCAAAGGAGAGATACCACTTTTAAAGCCTAATTGTGTTAATATATGTGGGAATACGAAAATGAAATATGATAGTATGACAAGAAAGTGAATATACTCATTTTGCTACTTTTCCTCTGGTATAAGGAGCGAATTTTTTTTTGTCTTGAAAAATTATTTTAAATGTATGACTGTATAGTTTTCATGCTAATCAAGAAAATGGAACTGTTTGCCCTTTTAAAGACGTTTTTGACCCTTGCTAGACTAAAAGCACGTTCTGCAGTGGTTTACTGTTTTCTGAGGACAATTACTGTTTTTATTGATTTTTTTTTTTCTTTTTTCTTTCCTCTCCAACCTGGGTGTACTAATATGGACCAAGCTTAAGTGTGAAGCTGCTAGGATTTCACTTGTTACTTCAGAAACCTGTGTTAGGAATTTTTGCTCAAATTTATGATCAATGAGGCCTTAGCAGCATATGCAAAAAGACGTTTCTGTGCTTCAGAAGCTCTTGCCAAATATCAAAGTAGCTCATTCAGTTGCTAACTTTGTATCAGGTGCAAAGCTGACACACATTTTTATATGAACGTGTATACACACTCACTCACCCACTGTATTCTTGGTCCTCACAAAATGAACGAAGAGTCATTCTGTAGGAGAGATTTGTTTTTAAAGGGTGGCTCCTCTGAGAATGAAATCAGTTACAGCTTTTCAAAAAAGGCCTGTAAGAGAATCTTACCAGTAACGTCAGACTTAAAATCTTTGCAATTACGGGTTGCTAACTGACAATTATATATTCTAGGAAAAAACCTATATCTAGACAAAAGGAGAACATACCTACTTTGTAGTTGAGCATTGCATGATGATGATGAAGAGACAGTGCCTCTCTGTAATTGAAACTCTCTTGTCCTTGCCCCCATACTTTGCACTTTTACTATTAGATACTTAGGAGAGAAAAATATCCTTCAGCATATCATGTTTTGATTTTGGTCCAGGCTCCGGAAGTAATTAGAGTCTTTTAAGCATGAGCTTTTTCAGATAAGTTGTTTTGGGAACCTAGTTTTGCAAGAATAAAGAACATGCATTGGATGGCAGTTCAGAAACTTTTATGATGTTTCTCTGGCTGCTTCAGTTTAAGTTCTTTACCATGAAAGTTGTATATATCTATATGGCACAGTAAATTAGTAACTAAGCTTTTGTCAGTTTATAAGTAGCATTAAAATACTGTTGGGAAAGTCTACATAAACTTTCAGAGCGTTTTTTTTTTTTCTTTTTTTCTTTCTTTCTTTTTTTTTTTTTATTTTTTAACTTGGTGGCCCTCAAAATAATGAGCTGACTGGCTCATTGCATTTCAAAGATTGATTACTTAGATTAGAATTAGTCTTCTCAAAGCAAGCTTCTCTAATTTTACTCTTGATCTTCCTACTTTCTGTTCCTCAGCCGCTGCTTCAGAGCTTTATGTTCCGTTAGCAACAATTGTTATTCACTTCTCTCTTTCGTCCCTTAAGAAACTATATGGACATTATTATAAACCTAATTACAGTAGCCACTTCCCTTAGATACTTATCATAACCAGAAATGCTGGAGTTGTCAAGGGACAGTCTTGAGTGCTCTTTCCATAGTTCGTGAGGCAAGTTTGCTTTCAGTTTTTTGGAAACTCAGCCATTGTGAAGGGATGATTTTAACTATGGTTTCTAGCTGCTGAGGAAGACTCTATAAATGACTCACTTCTATGTCCAGTTTGAAGAAGAGAAGCAAGAATTTATATTCATTTCTGTATTGTGTTCTTGGGCTTGAAGCATTAGGCCTTAATTTCCTTTCAGCAGCAGTATTTTCCCCAAATAATTGTTTTGGGGCATCTGAATTGTACCAGGCCTTTAATGCTGGTGCGTCATTTGAGCAGAAACAACTAAGCAGGTCTCCAGTGTCAGCTGCCTAATTTGTGCAGAAGGAGGAATAGTGTCACTGGATTTCATCAGCTCTTGGACATTTGAGTGTTAAAACTTTTGTCTAATAACATGCTAGAGTGTTTATTTTTATTTCTGTAATATTACATACTGCTTATTAAAAATTCTTCTGCAGTAATATAATGTTAAATTTATACTTACAAATATAAATTGCACTCTCCCTAATGTATGTGTATTAGATGGAAAACCCCAAGTATGTTCATTTACTGATGATTAGCACTTAATTTTCATTTTTTTTGAATGCAGATATCTCTGATAAAATTGTAGAAATTAGAGTTTGGTTTCACATTGTGGATTTTGATCTTTTTGTTTCATTTTACAGGAAGAAAGGCGGAGGCTGAAAAATGCAATAATAATCCAGTCATTTGTAAGGGGGTACAGGGACAGAAAGCATCAAGTACGTACTTTTATATTTATTCAGAAGGGTATACAGCAGTTTTGCTGGAAATAACATTTTCTTGAAATAAAAATTCCATTGAAAATCTTTCCTTTTTTTAATACTGTGTGTGCTCACGAAGCGCAAGTTCTTTTCCCCTCTTGACTGACTTTCTGCTGAGACATTTTTTTAGTAGGCGGGCGCTTACTTGTCAAAGCGTTTATGTATGTGGGTTTACTCAATTTCTTTGAGTTGACAAAGCATATGAGAATAGTTAGATATTTGCAGTTTTTCATTTACACACCAGTGGAGCAGGGTTTTTTAGTATAACTGAGGTGGTAGTTTGATTGAAAAGGCTATTCTTTTTAAGCTGCTGGTCAGTTATTCTGGGAGAGGGTTGTTTCTATTCAAGCTCAATAATATGTACTGAGTAACTTAGATAAAACTGTATGATGTGATAGTGTCTATGCGAAAAGCAACAAATTTGTTGTAAAGTTTAATTTCCGAGTGACAGACAGCAATTATGGTTTTAACTACAATTTTGTATGTACATCTCAATCTCTTAACAAGTATGTGTTAAATCCATTTTATTACTTGGCCGTTACTCAAGATGGGACACTGAAATGAGATTTTTAAAATTTTGAATCTCTATTTTAATTCAGAATCATTAATGATATGTTGATGCATTTCTTCTTTATTTTCAAGTACTCTATCCAAAGAAGTGAATTTGATCGCTGTGCTAATTTGGCCCAATCTGGAGGAACTTTTTCCGCTACTAGTGGAGCTAATTTGACCCTTTTAGTTCGTCAGTTACTCTTTTTCTATAGACAGAATGAGGATTCTAAGCGTTTGGTAAGCACTGTTACATACTTTGATCACTAGTAAATAGTTTTATTTCATGCACTTTTTAGATACTCTTGCACTTAGAAGGTTATGAGGGGATGCAAAAGAGGCTTTGGCCACTTCAATAAATCATTTTAAAATTGTGGCTATTTCTGGCCTAAATTCTTCTTTGCTCTTTTGTTATTCATTTAAACAAAATAAGTTATAATTTAATTTTATGTGCGCGCGCGCGCGCACACACACACACACACAATCTGTGAAATGAAGCCTAGAAAAATCCTTTTATGTAGCAGCATATATAGTATGTGCGAGTCACAGTAATGTATTGAAAATAGTATACTTCTGTTGGAATTATGCTTTTTAACACTATTTTCTAGCTGCCTCCCTCGTCCTTCGTAAGGTGTTAGGGTTTTTTTTTATTTTTATTTTTGCACTGGTCAGTAATACTGGCATGTAAATTTTAAAGTGTCTGCAAACTTCCAAAACGTACAAGTAAAAATGACTTAATGATGGACGTTAAAGAGTTATAGCTATATAAAAAGGAAAAATTAACAGAGGAATTTGTTCCCATAGTAAAGTTATTTGTAAATATATTTCAATATTAACTTTAAAAGTTTTAATATTAACAGCTGTGTAATTTATGTTGTTTAACAAATCACTATTTTTTTTTTTTAACTAAAAGTGATTGTCTTATTCTGTGTTTTGTAAGGCACCCAAAGGTATTTTGTGTTACGTATATGTACATAGGTAATACATAGCTTATAATATAAAACATTGTCTTATTTATTATAATGCAATTGTAAATAACGTACAATTTCTGCACCTGACAGAACAAGACTAAGGTATTGCTGAATATGGTGCAGTATTGCTGTATATGCTGAAAACTGTTTTTGTGCAACATTGAAATGTGAGCAACCATCCTAGTAAGGAATTAGTGCAGCTGAAATTGATGCAAATGCATCAAAAGGAAATAAAATATGTGCTCTGCTAAAAAATGTGTTGATGGAAAGAGTTTAGCAAATGAACTACTGAAGGAAAAAAGTCAGTAAGAAAAACATTGTGACCATCATGCAACTTGTGGAAAGAGAACTTGTATTTAAAGAGAGTGTAATAATTAGCCTGTTATGAATGTGAATTTCTATTAAACTTGTGCATATCTTTCCACAGATATGGATGTGTCAGAATTTAATTAAACAGAATTCTCAGTTTGTTAAGCAGCTGGATGGTCCAGACAGACTTACTTGCTTATTCCAAATAAAAAGACTGTTGGGGCTGTGTTGCAGGTAAAGTCATAGCCATGTTGGGTGCTTTTCATTTCTTTTTTTTTTTAATAGCAGATGAAGTATATATTAAACGTAAGCTTATTTCATGGAGAGGACTGTAACGTTAAATATATATCAGCCTTGCTATATGATACGTGTTCCTGTTTGAGAACAGTGCAGTGTTCCTCAGCTCCGTGGACTTTCAAGTTCAACATGTGCCCTGTCTAGAATGTTAAGTGTCTGCGTGTAGTAGTTTTGTTAGCAGTATTTGTCCACATCGGCATGTTTTCTTGGGAACTGATGATAACTAGAGGTTGCTATCTGAGTTAGGCTCTTGTTCTAAGGATGTATTGTGGATATTGCTGTTTTAGGACTAATATTTTTAAAAATACTTTTTCCCTGTATTTTGAGTTTAAGGCATGTTAAGGAGGTGCACTACTGACTGCAGCAGTACATTCGCTGTATGTAGTGACCTTCTTACAAGCATTTCAGAGAACTGCAAGACGATAAATCTGTCAAAGCAACTTCAGCAGCTGCCTGCTAACACCCAGTTTTGGAAAACAGTATATTTTCTAATCAATATGGTAGAAACTAGTTCTGTTCTCCAGAGCTTAAAAAAAATCCTTTTTGAAGAAACCTCTGTTTTCTTTTAATATTGAGAATTCTTATGGAGAATTGGTGTATTCAAATCATTGAAGCTTATGGTGTAATTGTGTATACTATATACATATGAATGGGGGCGCTGGTCACTGAAGTAAGCTTGAGTGGCAGGCTTCAAATCCTGCATGCAGTGGAACATAGCTGTGGTGTCACTGGAGATAATTGTGCATCTTCACCACAGTTGGAATTGTGCTTTGTAAATGCAGATATATTAGTGTTCCCTCTCTGCCTTCTTGACTGGATGATGTAGGAAGAGGAAGGGAGCAAAGGGCTGTTCCTTCAACACATAGGGAGAAAGGAGGAAGAAGCTCTTTTTACTTCATCTTGCCAGTGTAATGGTGGGTGTCTCTGCTTCCTTGCTGAGCTTCTTTAATTGGCTGCAGAAACCAAGAAAGCAAGCAGCGACACAGGTAGTCGAAAAAGTTTCCCATGGGTAAGTTCAGATTCCTGAGAATCTGTAGGTTTTAGCGTTACAGGAAAAATGGTGACAGTATGTAACATCATAGCAAAAACGGTCGTTTGATTGCAGCTACGTCTGCCAAAAAAGGTCATCTTGTCAATGAATCTTTTTTTTCTGTTTAGTGAAATAGCTTAGCTGTGGTGTCAAAATGATTTTTGCTGCTGTCTGTCTGTCTGGATGGCAGGGGAAGAAAGGGCATTGTCCAGATAACTATGCTATATACCTCACATATTAACAAATCCTTTTATTTCTAAAGAGGCTTTTAATCTGCACCGTTTTTGTGGTTTACATGTAGTTTCATAAGTAGTTTGCTAAAGGTTTGGGGGTGGTTGCTTTTTTGAATACTTAAGCGTGTAACCAGGATCGGGGATGTGGTGTTTGGTTATTTGTATGATGTTCCCTAGCATTCATTCCAAGCCCAGACTACTCGGGGGCTCTCCTGACTTCATTTTTCATGTGGATAGAAATACATTTTGGCAAAAGCTTTTGGCTTCTCTCCTAATCAGTACAGCAGTCCTCCAAAGTTACCAAGTCGTTGAAAGCAGCTATTCAGTAGGATTTAAAGAGAGAGAGAGAGCAGTATACACCAAAACCCTAAAATCAGGAATTGTAATGGTGCCCACAAAAAGATGTAGTGAGCTACTGAGAATGCTCGGAACCCCAGTATAAATAAGTTATTTTAAGATGAGTGCAAAAAATTGTTATAGCTTAATTTTTAAGAAGTGTGTGTATGCCTGTGCTGACAAAAGAGAAATCTCATTAAATAATTTTGATTTCCTTTAATTTATAGGCTATTGCAAAATTGCAATGATGACAGTCTGAATGTTGCACTTCCTATGAGAATGCTTGAGGTATTTTCATCTGAGAATACATATTTGCCTGTTCTACAAGATGTCGGCTATGTGGCATCATTAATTGAACAAATTTTGCACTACGTGATTCAAAAAGGTGAGTAGCCAGGAATTAGAAGTTCTGGGCGATACCCAGGAATGGAACGGAACGTGTGATACCTGAAGACCCTGTTGTTTAATCACATTTTGCCTTTACAATGAATTGTGTTAAGTACTGCAGACCTTAAGTTATACTACGCGTGGATATTTTACCATTTAAGAGAATGCTGCTTGAGAAATTACTGTTTGATTTCTTTGGAAATTCTGTTTGTAAATTGAATGTTGTACCAAGTTATTTATGCAGGCTTTTACAAGAGAGCCTGAGAGTTGGTGAATATTACCTAGAAGAAGTTTATTCCAGTAGCTGCTTTCTCCTATTTGCGTGAACTGTGTAAAGGCTGGACATTCTTCTGCAGCACTTCTCCCTGTAACTGCTAAAGATCATTTTTATAGTAAATTGGCATTGATTTTTCATCCTGTTAACGGTAGGTAGAGACTCCTTAGCAAAGAGATGGCGAACCAGCTTTTATTTTCCTTGTGTCGTCATCAACAAACTGTTTGCTAAACTCCTGTCAGTTACACCTGTGCAAACCTACTGAAAGTTAATGAATTGTGTAGTTATCACCAAAATCATGATTCGTCCACAAGAAACTTTGTTACTCTTTGAGATGTGTTTAACAAAAATTTTGACTTTCTAATGTCGTGGCTTGAGTTTACAAGACAGGTAGATGGGGGGGGAAAAGACACAAGCCCTATGAAGTAAATGTCTCTGATCCAACCTCAGTAGTACAAAATGTTAAAATGGCACCTTCAAACTTGTGTGTTAATTTTTGGAGTAATTCCATGTTTTTAAAGGTTTTAAGGTTCGGTCCACAATATTTATCCTGTTACTGAGGATTTAGTTGTAACTACTGCATTTGGAGTTGTGTTACACTGTGACAAAAAATTGGTTATTACTGCAGCACATTTCTTTTCCTTGCCTTGATATTATTTCAGTTGTAGTAGCGTCTGTGTTTATGTTTCATCGTTTACTATATAATTAGTATATCTTCCAAAATACTTCTATATTTGTTCATTTAGTATAATATTCAGGCCTCACAACTGATATATGAGAATTTATCAAGATGATTTATACTCTAAATTTTAGTCGATAAAAATCAGCTTTCTAATCAATTAAAATCAAAACAAAAAGAAGCAACTGTATACAACTAAAAATATATAATCTCCTAATCGTTTATGATGATTAAGTTGTAAAGAATGTCTAATCAGCTTTTATTAATCAAACAAAGGGTCTTAAACTGGACCTCTCAATGAGAGAGCACTATTTATGCATTCATAGTGGTTTCTGTAGTACTGGAACTCGTGTCTGAGAATAGGAGTTCACTGAGCACAAGGAAGTTGGATTGAGGAGAGGAATGGAGTCTTGATTCCATTTTCACTTAGTCAGAAAATTATTTTTATCTCACCAGTGAGGATCAGATTACCGTCTATACATGTCTTTATGGTTCAGGTGGTAGTACGTTTTATTGCTGTGTGAGATCTCTGCTTTGGGAGCAGTACTCGTGTTCTTCAGTCTACTAAAGCAATAGGTACTTGTGGAAGTGAGGCATTCTACCAGCAGGCCTCCTACCTGTAAGAGGCTGTCGTGTTTGGAGTAGAGGGCGAAATTCATAGTGTCTGAAAAGGTGGAAAACCAACTGCCAAAAACATGACTAGAATTGCCTAGAGGAGAAGAGAACATCTTTTTCATGGATTATTGTTTAAAAAAAAATCACATTATTCTCTATCAGTAGAAGTGGTCTGTCTTGATAATTGCGTACCGAATCAGTTTAATTTTCAGTCAATGATTTTTATCAAAGGATATTTCCAAAGATCTTACTTGTATATCCTGTTAGTTATGTGAATGTGACTTTGACGGTTCTCTGCATTTTTTAAAAAATGTTTTCCTTAGTAAAACTTCATGCAAGGAATTACAGGATGTTGTTAAAGTTATAAATTGTATAAATTGTATGTATATAAGTTGTTCTATAATTAAAAAAGAAAAATAGTATTATCTTTTAAAAAGTGATGTTTCTTATTTGTAGGCTACTACAGGTCGCTTTATTTGTTAATTAACAATAAGCTTCCATCAAGTATTGAGTATTCTGATGTTTCTCGAGTCCCTATTGCAAAAATACTTCTGGAGAATGTTCTGAAACCATTGCACTTTACATATAGCTCCTGCCCAGAAGGTGCAAGGTAAATAAAGACAATATTAGATATTTGTATACTTGTTCATTATTTTCAGAGTGCAGACTTTATTGTTGGATGTTTGTATTTTTTAATACGCGTTGTTGATTTATTTTCGATAGTAATGATTTTTTGGTAGCATTGGCGAAACATCATAGTTTCAGGTACGGTTAAAAAAAAGCAATAAAATGAAGAATACAATAAACGGATCACAGAGAATAGCATATATCACAATGTGTGGGAAGGTAGACGTGGAAAAACTTGAAGTGTAGATGAGAGCAGAGACCACAGCCAAGGGCAGTTGAAAAGAATTTTGCGGTTTGTGACAGAGGAACTGAGGTTTATGAAGAGAAATAATTAAGTCATAGCTTACAAGGAGAAAGAATGAGGTATGTGGAAAGAAACAAACAAAAATCATACTTTGGTTATATCATGTATCATAGTGTTTTGTATTGATACAGACTTTTGGTGGAAAAGATGCTAATTGCCATTTTTTTAACAGTTATTTCAAGATTATAAACAGTGAAATTTTACTTCAGAATAGTTTTCTGTGAGCTTATTAAAAGTTTAAAGGATACAATTACATATGAGATCACCAGGGATAGGAGATAATAAGTTCATTTTTGAGGAATTTGACAAATTCAGTTTATTGGCCCAGAATTAAAGGAATGCATCTATATAGTTTTCTTGATGGTCATATTCAGCCTTGCACGTTGATGCTTGATCATTCCGTGGATATACTTGTGAGAAATTCTACTCACGTTTTCAGTAAAGGCATTTTTTTTCTTTATTTCAGGCAACAGATTTTTGCAGCCTTCACAGAGGAGTTTCTGGCAGCACCTTTTACAGATCAAATATTCCATTTCATCATTCCAGCGCTTGCTGATGTGCAGACCATTTTCCCTTATGAACTCTTTCTGAATGCACTATTATTAGCAGAAAGTGGATGTTCAAGAAAAAATGATCGAGCCCCATGGCTTTTTTACATTGTTTTAACTGTTGGAGAAACATATTTGGGTGAGAAAGCTGAATTGCCTATTCACTGAGGTTTTTGTATTTGAGTTAGTATGTTACGTACGTATAGTATAATATATGCGATGTTCTTTGACAAGCAAAAGGACAGTTTGTGGATCCAAGTATTGGAGAGATCTGTTTTATTAGCTAATCTTACTCTTTTCATTAAAACTTGTACTTAATTGGGGAGGCTTGGGCATATTGTTTTTTGTCAGGTATTTCTTGTAAAATGTTTCATTTATCTTTAGCAGAGTGTGATCTGGCTCATGGTCTTATTTTCATGTATTTGCTATAGGATCCCTTTCAGAGGAAGGACTTCTTGTGTATTTGAGGGTACTCCAAACTTTTCTCTCTCAGTTGCCTGTGTCGTCTACTGGTACAAATTGTCAAGATGCAACCAGTGATTCTGAAGATGAGGATGAAGAGATCAGTAAAATGATAACCACGCCAGTAAGCAGTACATAATTTCTTTGCGTGAATTTTTATTGTAGCAACAGCAAAAATAGGTAAAATCATGATTGTTTTAAGTCTGCTATTTTTCTAGCTGCTTGCAGAGGGAAGTATGCTTATTTTGTTCTTAAAAGTAGATGGCTGCTATTTACAAGTGACTGGAACTGGTTCCTTACGTTTGAAAGCAAACACACAAAATTCTTAATGTAATCAGGAATCTTAAAATACAGGTAATGTGACTTCTGCAGAACAGAGCTTTTATTTCCAAAAAAAAAAAAAAAAAAAAAAAAAGACCTCTGCTTTAGTTTTGTGTTTTACAGAGACTATTACTCTTCATACTTTTCCGCCCCGGTGACATTAGGTTATCATGATCACCAATCAAATCTTCCAACGCAGTATTTCCATTTTTTCTCAAGGAAATATCATATATTCAACTTCAGTCTTTACCTTACAGACTTAGTTCTGTTTTTAGATACACTTGCCATCCGCAAAACCCTCAAAGCGCAGGCCACCTTATGTCTATGACGTGAAAATAGGATTTTTCACTGTAATTTAAACATACAGTAAAATTTCCACCAATAAAATGAATCTATACAAACTTTAACATCCTAACACTCAGATCAAGGCTTTGAACCCCCAGAGTTGGAGAGATGTGAATCCAACAGCTTCTTACTGACCTCTGTGCAATCTCTCAAAAGCCAGCTACCGTTCAGGAGACTCAGGCAGTGTGCAGTCTGTCCTTGTAGTGAGTGTGAAATTCCACCTTATTTTGGATTGGTGCAAAAGTAGTTTAATTACCATAATGTGATGATTTTTCCTCTCCCACACTGAGCTGGAAGTTCTGGATTTTTCTCTCTCTGGCGTTTGTATGCCTTTGTGTTATCTCTTTGGTTAAGTACTGAAAGCCAAGAGTATGCTAGCTCTTCTAGGAGATACTGTTGCAAATGCCTGCTTGAATTTCCTGTTGTCTCTGAAAGATCCAACATTTTTAAGACCAGCTATTGAGAGTGACTTCTTATCAAGAACCATACTATTGGTGAATACGTGCAGCTTTTTATTTGTACATTTTACATGCAGTGTGTTATCGTTGCCCAGAAAGGTTTACTAAGTTAGTATGAATGAACTGTATTTTTTGTCCAGTAGTAATGCATTTCCCACAATACAAAATATTTCCTGTTTTAACTATCCAAAATCTTGATGTCAGACTTCAGATAGTTAATCCCCACCACCACTTTCTGTAATGTAAATATTGGCAGATTCTACTTGTGGCTTACACATTTCTGTTCATAGATAATATACTGTAATGTATAAATTAGAGAAAATCTGCTCTGAGGAGACTTCAATACATAATACTGTTTTATTGTAATATATGTTTCTCCTTCCTGTGTTTTTTTTGTATTTTTTGTATTTTTTTGTATTCCATATTTTCATGCACCAAAAAACAAGTTGCAGAAAAAAACCCTCTGCCTTTTAAAAATGTATAGCTGGATAGCTTGCATTCTTCAGGGATGTTCTTTTTTTCCACACTACTTGTATTACCCAAACATATATATTTGCCACCTGGTAGCTGAATAAAGTTTCTTGGTTTTTGTTAACCCATGGGCTATAAATCTGAGAATATTGTTTGTAACTGTTGAACTTAACAGTAGATATCCATTTCTCTGCAAATACTAACTGATGTAACTGGGGGAGAGATGAGTGTTCACATTTTATGCCAGTAAATGACCTTGCCCTATTGCATCTAAGCGTTGCAGAGCATGCTTACGTTAAAGGGAATCTTCCCCTCTGGCTTTAGTGGAAAGATTGATACTACTCCTAATGCATGCCTATCTAGGGGTTTAAATCAGCTTTCGGATGTGATGCTTTTACGAATGATGTTTGGGTATACGTAAACGATCATGCTTTGAGTATCATACAAGCAAATGTTATGTTCTAGTAAAATTCTAAAGTGTTTAAAGAAATGGGATTTTTTTATCGTTTAAAAAGAGCAAAGCGGATTTTTGTTGGATATGTTTACAGGGCGATGGGAGAATATCAGTTCAGTATATAACTGAGGAGTGTCTAAAGAAATTGGATACGAAACAGCAGACAAACACTCTACTGAATATGGTTTGGAGAGATTCGGCTAGTGAGGAGGTCTTTACCTTGATGGCATCGATCTGCCACACGCTAATGGTACAACACCGAATGATGGTGCCAAAAGTCAGGCAAGTATAAGTAATAATGGTGTTAAACTGTGGCAGATCTAAAATGAGTTTCACTAGATAGGCTTGGTTTGTTGTTTCAGATAGTCTGTGGAGTTTTTTTGTGTTGTCTCTTTTACGATCAACTGAAATAGATAAGAATTTTAGCCTTTAAATAAGAGTTTCAGATCTATCAAAGAGGAGATTTCTTCTTTTGTCTGTTGTTCTTCTTGCTCATTGTTCTCTCTCTGGAACGATCACTGAATCCAAAATTGTGAGTTTTGGGTTTGTTTAGTGTATTGCAATTAAGTTAATATTTTTATCATCACATTGAAGGTTACAGCACAGAAAGTGTTTGTGATCAGAAAATCACATGCAAATAGGATTGCAAAGGTTTTTCCATCCTCTTACTCGGAGGCAGTATTAAGTGCAATTAAATGGTTCTTAAAGAAGTCTGACCAGCTTCATTTTAAAACTTTCAAGGCTATGGATTCCATAGTCTGTCTGGCTAGATGAGCATGGAAACCAATTATTCCAAATTTGTTCTCTGATCCTTTTAATATATAATGAGAATATCTCTTGCGACAAATTAAGATAGTTCCTGACTGTTGAAAATCGTTGTCTTTGTGTGGGAAAGCGTTCAGGATCACAAATGAAGGTAAAAATTTGGACTTGTTCATCTTTACGGCATTCTTTTGCAAAGACTACAAAACACAAACGTCAGTAACGATAGAAGAAGGTTTTTAGTCTTCTTACGATCAAACCAAGAGCCATAACTATTAAAACTTGTGTTGTGCAAGTGGTTTTGAGTCAGTATATAGTTGCTGGTAGTAAACTAAGTATTTAGGGAATGTTGTAAACATAATCAATTCAAACTGCATTGTAAACAGTGATACAGAAAACTAATTAGGTGCTATCTTAGCCCAATGGTGTTTATAGCTGTTAGAGGAAGTAAGATGTCAGTGAAGCTGTGATTGCTCGATTAGGGTAATTAGTTCTTTGTAGGCTAATTGCATTAGAGCAGGATGTGAGACCTGAAGATCATAGCAGCAGTTGAATTAGTACGGCTGTTTTATTGTTGCAAGTAGTACATTGCTTTGGATAGTAATTACTGAATTTAAATGCATCGCTGCTTTGACTTGAGGTTTACTGGTGAACTGTGTGGAAAGGGTGCTTAATGAATAAAGAAGTCACACAGAACCTTAATTGTACGAGTATGGCGTCTATTTCCTCTGAGAAGCTATGTTAGGTCTTTGTAATCATTTGTGATAACAAGCTAGTTATGCATTAGATACGTTTCAGAAGTTACGCAAGCTCCAGTCAAATTGTTTTCCATTACAACTTTTGAATGATTTTGAAACAGTTGAATCTACCAATTTCAGAAGTAAGTAGTAGAAATACTAAGATTTATATTATTAATGCCAGTGAAGGTTTCTACCTGGTTAAAATTAAGTTACTTCATACAGTTATTTGTCAAGTTAAAGCAGACTTGTAATTCCTAGTTCTGACTTCTGAGCCAACAGTAAGTATTGGGTTTAGCAGGCATAGTCAAGTCGTTAGGCATCCATCTTTCGTTCTCTTCAGTGCTTTTTAGACCTGGACTGAGTTTCTGAGCGCCTATTCCATACGTTCTTTCTGAGTGTTTTATAAAGGATATTTGATGCTTGTTTTAAAGGTAATAAACGTTGTGCAATTTTGAAAAGCAGTTAAAAGATTTTTAGCTGATTTATTTCCATAAATACCTTTTTTTATTGCCTGGCAGATTGTCAGATTTAATGATAGTCTTTGGAAAAATGCTTCGCCTTTTTTGAGACTGACTTCTAAATGACTTAAAAATTTTCAGAGTAAAGTTTATCTGTTTAATGAAACCATGTAAAAATATTTTAGTGAAGCAGAAATAATTTATCAAAACCGACTTTTAATATATTCCAAGAGCTCAGAAGTACTTTTTTCTTTTCCTTCTGAAGACATACGGGTCAAATGGGTTTAAACAGAGAAAAGTCTTTATCAGATAAAGACTTTATTTGCTTACTAACAGCATTCACAACTGTAATGGAAAATAATGATAATTAAAAAAAACACTTAGACTGGAAATGTGCAAAGTGAGATACTAACTGAAACGAATTAGAAATCACCTTGAATAACAGAAAAGAATATTAGGCTAAGTTTACACAGGCTTTGGAAGGGAGAAAACCGCAAAATATTTCTATGTTTTTTATAATACTTTTGAGGCTTCCTTCGTTCTTGAAAAATGGTAAGAAACTCATACTAGAGACTTGTATTTTGTCACTCCATTAAAGCTGAATGCTTTTTCTTCTTGTGTCTCTCAGTGCATCTTGGTGATTCGGCAGATGATTGTGGAGTGTTAGGAGCGTGGGCATCGCTGCATTAAATCAGTAGTTTTGTTGGGTTTGAAACGGAGACCGAGAGAGACCAGAACAGGATGCCCCAAACTACAAGAATTTCTGTAGATTTGAACAGAAAGAGCAAGCCTTTTAAGTCCCTTTCTCCCTCTGTGTAGACTGGTGGTGGGTTTTGACTTGAAACATAAGTAATTAATTCCCCCCCCCGCCCCAACACACGCGCTCTAATGTTACAATAAGCATATTCTGGTTAACCACAGAGAGTTTACTCTGCCTGTAGGTATTCTTTGCCTAAATAATGTTAGGTTGTATTAGTTACATTGTTTTAGATAATGCAAAATATTTCTTTAATCTTTTCTCTTCTAGTAATTCTGAACTTTAATTTTGATTTATTTTGTAGAAACTATTATTTTTTTTCTCTGATGCTGTGCTAATTCCTGACTTCTCTAAATAGTGCTTTTCTCTTTTTTCAGTGTATTCTCTTCTTGTACAGCTGTCTTGTATACGTCCATAGCTAAACATTTTTAATTATCTGTGGTGTTACTCCCTCCTTTTTTGTTGAAAAGGCTGTAACAAAGACTGAACTGAAGTTTTTACCACAGCAGCCTTAACAATAAATAGTATGTCTTGCTTTTCTTTTTTTCCTCCTCATGTTGTGTAGATATGATAGAGGACTGAAACTTGTGGGAGTTAGGAAGTTATTCATGCTTCAACACATTACCTTCATATGTGCTTCATTGCCCATTGCCTCTGTGGTAGTGATGATGAATAGGGTATTTATTTTAGACTCACATTCATTTGTTTGGTCCATGATTCATAAGCTAGAGATATAGTAAAATTCAGTATTACCTGATATGTATTATCTACCGTTTTATTTTTAAGCTGATATGTGTCAACTCAACAGAGGTGGATTGTTGGAAGAGCACATTGCTTTGACTTAGTCCTCCTGACTAATAGCTAGCCCTAGTGTAGGGCTAGCGACTAGTGCTCCTTAACAAATTCTGTCCAAATTTGGCAAAGGTGTAAACAAGCCTAGTTTAAAAAAAGCCACAAGAGTAGAAAGACCAAGCTGTAGCTAGTGTTCAGTAAGCCGGGTGTGAGGTGTAAAATGAAATGCTGGTGGTAATGAAGTTGCTGAGAATCTTGTATCCTCTTCAGGGGGACAGGTCTTTCGTTCCTTCACTATACGGTTGATGTTTATTATATATTATTTGAATGTGGTGTTATTGAAGGAAAAAAAAAAAAGACCCGAGTCTTATACAGTTAGCTTTGGTTACCATTACAGAGAGATTTGCGAGATTGATCAGCAGAACTATATTTTTAAATAAATATTTTGCAGAATGAGAATTTCCTAGTTAGGGAGGGTAGTTTAAAATCACAGACTTCAAGCTCTCGGTAGGGCTTTAGAATTAAACAGCTCTGCGAACTGTGCTTGTGCTGGGACTGTGGCTATTATCAGCCGTCTGGTTGGTGTCTCTGTGTAATTGTTAATCTTGGTTTAACAGTTTCATAGTGGCAATACATTACTACTGCTTAATTTACATAACACTGCTAATCTTCCCCTGTGGTTAAAAATGCTTTGGAAAACTGACATTCTGGTGTAACATGAGCAGCCTGTCTTTATATGTCTGGTGAAGATATTTAGGCTTTAGGTAAGGCTAATTCTTTAGAGAATGAGTGTTTTTCTTAAAACCAGAGCCATTGTATTTGGAGTTTTTGCAACATTATTTAAAGCTTTGTTATGCATTCTTCATCCGACACATATTCTAAAGAGAGACAGAAGCAGAGAGCAGCCTAAAGAGTAGTACAGTTCATTCAATGCGTCTTGCATGCTATCTCTTACCTGTCACACCTTTCACTTCTAAAGAAGTGTCAAAAAACACTGCCCCTGCAACAGCGACCTTTATTAGACTGCATGAGCTTGTCTCGTTCTGTTGTATTCTCTTCATTAACTTAAATGGTCTCAGTGGGAAACTGGGCCCAATTTATGACCTAGACTGAAAATCTTGCCTTTAACTAATTAACTTGTAGCAGTGCCTCAGCTAAATTAAGCTTAATGGGTCATTTAATCTGTCCCATTGCGCAGGAGGAATTTGACACTTTTTTTTTTTTTTTTTTAAACAAGAGGTGCCCAAAAATACCTTTCTGGCAAATACACATAAATCACGTGGCTTTTGTGAACAATTAGATAACTACAGAGAGAAACTGGCCAATAATAAATGGGCAATATAGACTTAATTTTGGAAGCAGATTAATTTAATTTAGTATGATGAAAATAGATGTCTTAACAAATTATTGCAGTGAATTTAACTCTAACAGTTAAACCATGTGGCTGGTTTATTTTTGTGCTTGAAATAGGAGCTTATCCTTTTCATTATTTGAAGAATATTTCTTCCCCTAAATTACAGTACTGAGTCTGAATACTAAAATTTACCAGGAAATCCATTAATTAATCCGTTATGTAAACCCATGTATAGTGATCTCACAGGAATGAAACTGGGAATATGCAATGGGATTTTTCAAGAAAATGCAGAAGAACCAGAGAAGAGGGGAAGGAACTCAGGAAATAAAATTTAGTTGTTTCATTTGTTTTTAGAATAGAACGAATCATTGAAAATGAACCACTGAGATATAAAGATTTAAAGAAAAAAAGAAATAATGGCTAATATTTCTTTAGTGATTTCTAGTGTACACATATGGGGTTTTTTATTTAAAGGAAAAAGTGGTCAAGGTTGTATGGACATTCAAAATGTACATTAAGTTTAACTGATCTCTAAATGTTGTGACTTAATAATGCTTTGTCTTTGGCATGTGCGAAGCATCCCTTTAATGTTCTGCAGTTTACTCCAAATTATTACTGTATGCTCTGTCATTTTAATGCAGTTTTATCTGGAAATGCTCATTTTTAGCAGATGCACGTTTTCTCTTATCTGCCCAAAGAAAACCAAATAAGGTAGATCTTGCCCTATTTTAATTCTCAAAATTGTCCTTTTGTATTTTTTGGAGTTTTTTAGGGTTTTTTTCCTTTTTTTTTTTTTTTTTCTTCAACCTGCAGGTGAGGATGTTGACATTGTTTCCTGGCACAGCCGTTTTCTTCAGACTTTGCAAAGATGATTACTCAAAGCCATCCCTGCATTGTTTGTTTGTGTTAAAATTGTTATGTTCTACTTTGAAAGCTAATTTCTATGCCTGGGCCTGGGAGGTTGTTCCTACTGTGACTCCTTTGCCAATGGATAATACTTCAAGTGAATCTACTGATGTAAAATTTTTGTAACAGAACGGTTTATTAGGCCTTACGTGTTTAATTTTTAATTCCACATTTATTTGTTTGGTAGCAATATGGACTCTTCAGAATGGGTGAATTCATCTGTTTCATATTTTACATATATTTCATATTGACAAAATAAGCTGCATAATAACATCTTCTGCCGTATCTGCATCGTGTATGTAACCTGATTTTTCAAGGAAGCACAGCCTTCTCAACGTGAAACTTGAAGGTATTCAAAATTTCTGGAATCAAGCCATGACATGCAGCAGTTGCTACAGCTGGCTGCCTGAATCACTGATACGGAGTAAATACGGATAAAACTCAGATAAGGGTTGTTATTCTAAGCTCTTAAGGTTTGTTCTCCCTCCCCTCCCACCCCCCTTCATTATTGCTGAATAATTATAGAATGAAAAAGTGAATTGCATTATGATAGGTTCAGTGTCCATAATGTTTGTTCATTTCTGCTAAAACTATTACATAATTTCCAGGGATGACTGTAAAATTAACAAGTTTTTACTTGGAAGCCCTACGAGACCTAGCGGCACTGTGCCAAATTACTTTTCATTTCAAATATGAGCCTGAGAACTGAAGGTCATTGAAGAAATTTTTCATCTTAGAAAGGAAGACATCTAAGCTATCGCTCAGATACTTGAACATTAAAGCAGAAATCCTTGTTCTAAATTAGCTTAATCTAATAAGCCCTTCCTTAAATGATAATGCATAATTTCCACCTAAATGTCAAAATAATGTAAATTTAGAAAAAGAAAACTGCAAAGGAAAAAATACAAGTTGAATTTTTTTCAAGTTTTAAGATTAAAATGCCTCATACTTAAAATGTAACTTCATTTTCCAAAAAAAACCATATTCTAAAAGATTCTGCAGTGCTTGAACAGCCAACACGCTGGGACGCAGAGGCGTATGCTGCTGTACAATAGTTCTTCGTGTGGGGGTGTGTAGATTTGTCTTTTTTTTTTTTTAATTAAGAGCTTCAAATGAATTGCTGCTTAAACCTTTTACAAGTGTTTTTGAGTATTTGTTGCATATTTTACTTTTTTCCTTAGTGAAATGTGTACTTCCTTTCCTTTTGCCATCTGGCACATTTTAATTTGTCCACGTGGACCTTAATAGGTACTGTTTTCTCCAGCAGACCCTGCTGTCTCCCCTCGCTGCTCCCATTTCCCAGCCTCCTGCCTCTTGTGTGCGTGAGCGTGAGGAGTTTGGGACTGCGAGCCTGCTGAAATCTGAGCGG